TATTTCCACAGCGGCTGACAGCTCTCCGTTGGTCGCGAATATTTTAGGTTTGGGTGTTGCAGTTTAGTTGTTGTTTTGTTTTTGTTTTGTTGTTTTTTTTTGGGGGGGGCGGTTCTTGGTTTGATTTCGTTTGTATTTTTTCATGAGGAGGGTTAAAAGCGGAGATGTACAGTTCTAGCTAAACACATCTGTCTCATTTTAATGGCAGAGCAACTGACTCAGAAGTAACGAGCACAAGAAGGAAAATGGGGGTAGAAAAGACTTACATGATATCATTCACACGGATAACATTATGTGCTGCTTCAAAGGTGTACGCATGAGAGTGCTTTTACCCCACTGAAATAGTCCGTTGTTTACTTTCTTTGAGTAAAGAGAAGCACATCGACACAATAATGGTCATTTAGTGCAGAGAAAAAGTAAGACAGAAAGACAGACAGAAACAACAGTGGGAAAGTAAAGAAGTAGGACCTACCCACGGCACCCCCCAACCATCAGCTGAAATAGTACCCACTTCCTGAAAATAAAAGTGGTTAGTAGAGGGTACAGCTATTGCATCTCTTGTTATCCATCTCACTGAAAGTGAAAGTGGAAGAAGCGCCAAGGGGAAAATAAGGTTCCCTTGTACTTTTAATGGAAGAAAAAAACAACAGAACTGCTAAGGTAATCCACCACCAAGACATGGTAATAATATGGTGAATGTGGGGGCCTGACAAGGCAAACAGGAGCAAAACTACAAGGAGACACGGATAAAGTGGGGCCTACCAATGGCATCCACCAAACAGTCGTATCATCTGCTTTTGACCAGCACACAGCTGATCAGTGCCTAACTGAAAAGCTAAGTAAAGTAAAGAAAAAGACGTAAAAGTCTTGACTTGAAAACAGATGACACAAAAAGATGTTGCTCACTCCAACTTGTGCAAAATTTATATCACAAACAAACCATGCACCTGGCCAAAAAAAATAAAAATTCTTTTTTTCTCAAACATCACCACAATGCATTCACTTGTATTCAGACACAAAAAACACTTACAACCACATCCAATGTGAAAAAGTGAAGACCAGAGGACTACACAACATTTCAAAGTGGACAAAGAGTGCCACTATTGAGTTTGGCATCCACATATTTTACAACACATTATCATCAAAGCTATGCCATGGAAACCCTTAGACCCAGATTAGACTGAAAAAGAAGAGGAGGGAGCAAACAATCAAAGAGGACAAAAATTCAGAAAAAGATCCACTAAAATTCTCTTATTTTAAGTGGGCATATTATCACATCCACATATGCACTCTTATCCTGAAAGTAACAAGAACTTTAAAGCTGCGTCCATCCACCAGGGACAAAATTTAAGGAAAAAAAAACACACGCACAAAATGTCTGTATTTCATTTCTGTCAAAGTCTGAGCGGTAATGAAGGGCACATAGAAGTCAATGCATGGAGCAAAGCAAGTGGAGTAGACCAACAAACACAAAGGAAGGAACAATGAGCGGCACACTTCCCCTCCCCAAACCATTGACTTGCTTTCATGAAATAGCCCAGCAACTAAACAACCACTGCCAAATTCTAGAAGTGCAGTACAATACCAAAAGAGTGTCCCTTTAAAAAGGTGGCAAGAATCACTGAAAAGAATATATATGATATATGACAAAACAGACAGAAGGGCTGGCATTCTTAAAAGTACAAATGACAATGGAAAAGAGAGAGGGAGATATCCCCAAACCAGTCTACAAGGGACTGGACTTGTGTACTGTTGCCCTTAACTGTAACTTCCATATCCAACAAGAAAGGGTTCTAGAGGTCTACCAGAATGTTTATAGTTTACCTGAAAGTCTCCCGACAGACCTTCTGGCAACCGGTTTAGTTGACGAGCTACCAGTTTATGAAGTATAATAAAGGCTTGGGACTTGTGACAAGGAAAACTTTACAGGCTCTGGAGTGACATTGGGATGGCCATATTAAATATGTTTTAGCAGTTGTTTGTTGGGGAGGAGCCAAATTATTCACTCATACAAACCACAGCTTTTTCAGGTTCAAGTGAAAAGCCATTTGGAAAAATACTGAAATTCAGTAAGGATCTAGCTGGCCTGGACAAATAGGTTTTCAGAGCCATTCAACTTTTGTGTCTGAAGGAAGTTCAAACACAGTATGATCAGTATGGGACTTCCAAGTCTTTTACCTTTTAACACAGAAGGCTGCAGGCTTTAAACAGTTTGAAGATCACAAAGGACATCATAAACCTGAGGGTAATATGCCTAGAGATGTGAATAGGCTACTATACCCATTTGGAAACCAGATTATTTAATGACACTCGCTAAGACATCCATCCGTCTAGGAGTAAGCACTTTTCTCCTCCTCAAAGGGTGGCTGTCTTTGACAATTTCAACTGTACTTTTAACTAACCATCATTATGATACTGGAACAAATCAGCAGAATAAAATCTGGACTGCAGCACCTCTGATAAAAATTTACAGAAAACTTACCCAAAATGCACTATATATTATAATTTAGAGATTGGATTACTGTGTCTGAAGTCAACGTTTCAGGATTTTGATCTAATCGGACAACATCCACAATCTTCTGTAGTCTTTTACCAGTAGGCCTACTATACAACAGACTAGAAACAATGTACGTATGGCAGAAAACCTTTTTAACCTTAACATGTTAAACAACCTGACACTACAACATGATAGTGATAGAAGGAGAGGTGATCTTGTAGTTCCGTTAGTTAAAGTCCACCACCCATTTGTTTACACCCAGAGAAGAAATCCGGAAGTCTTGATGACCAAATAGGCAACATAAAGAACAGGGATGCAACGTAACTGCAAAACATCAAATTATGGTAAAATTCAGGGGGGAACCCCCCCACCCCATATAAAATTAGGTCAGGGGGGTAAGCCCCTCTGAAACCCCCCTACTCTTGACTCTTGGGGACCAAACCGGCAAATAATAATTGGGGGTGGGAACTGATAAAAAAGGGCCATTCTTTGCTTGAATTTTTTGATTTTCTCCTCAACGATTACCTGACAATTCAAGGTCTCTGGCGTTCAGCTCTGGACTTTAACAAACGAAACTACAAAATCGCCGAAGGAGAAGGCCTACTTAAGAACACCATAACATGATTTGATACATGATAGACAGTCGAGGCCTATACTATAGTCTATAGTCTCAAAAATAGGCCCCAACTATACTATTACTAATACAACACAGATCAAATGGGCTAAGTTACTACTGCTACTACTAGTACTAGTCTATGGCATGGTCTATCTATTGACACTACTAGATCTAGATTCTAGATTCTAGACCTAGCCTAGAATCTAGATCTAGAATCTAGATCTATACTATTGTCAATTGATACTACTGTCAGTGTGACTGTGATCTCTAGGCCTACAGTACATGTCCTACAGTTTACAGTTCAATACACGTAAGTAGGGGGGGGGGGTAGGATCTGTTGACTTCGGGGGGAAAAAAGACGAGAACAAGGCAAAACAATTTCCCTTTCTTTCTCTTCGGTCAGATGACAACAAGATCTAGATCTAGATATCTAGATCTATGAAAGGGAGACCAGGCCTAGGCTATCAATTTTCATCTAGCAGCGCCACTAAGTCGAGAGCTTCGCTTGCTGGGCACGGTGAATACGAATCCAGGCAGAGATAGCTAGCGGAAGGGAAGGGAGTGCCTAGTGAGGACTTCCCATTCAAAACAAAATAGATCAAAAAGTTCAAATTGACTTACCGATTTGAAGAACATTTGCAACAGCTCCGTTGTCAAGAAGTCGAACTCCCTGATGAAAAGGTAATTTTTGATTCTCTGAAGGTTCTTTAGCGCAGTTTGCATACGAAGAGTACATGTAGATATCCCGTTCATTCCGGGGGAAGGACCAGAAAACGATCTTGCTCTGAACTGGCTCCGGTATGCGGTCATATTGCTGTTCTATTCGCTGAAAAGGAATATTTTCGGCAACAATTTTAGCTGTAATATCTAGTAAAGTATCCGCTTGTTTCAACTGTTTACGACTAGACGCCCCAGAGCCGCCTTCGCTCCTGTAACTGTGAGAGCGAGAGGGGCAGTGTCTCTTTGCAGCCGCCATGGAGCACCCATCTGACACTTTCCTACTTTCCAGGGAGATTTCCTTTACACATGCGCAAAGCGCTTGGACTTAAATTGGGGGATTGTCCAGGACATGCGCAGTAGCCGATTCCGAGCATTATACATGTTTCGGGAGTTTGGAATTCCCCTGTGGAGAATCCCTGACTACTGAATGAAAATATTCACTCAAACGGAATAGGTATAAATACAGGATTTATTTATCACGTTTTACACGGGTTACAGGTTGTCAAAATGTCAACATCAATAAACCAGTGGCCTGTGACTGTTACTCTCCATTAAGTTACGATTCACTTTAACATTATGATAAATAAAAGAATTTTAGACGTAAGATAGAAATAAAACAAAAGTTGATTTTGGTAGATCTATTATAATCTTCAATAATTCTGTCCGCCGGCTATCGCTTCTGTTGTGTTGACCCATAAAGTGTTGACCGCACCTCTCAACGAAGCACACCCACCCGCTTTATGCCCAGTAGAACAGTAAGGGTAACCCTTGCCTGTGACCCGCACTTGGTTTGGGATTAGGCACTCCTACCAGGAATTATTATTGCGGACTTACTTTTGTACTTTCACAGCCGAGAACATCCAGGCGTACTTACACAGCGTGTTCCAACTTACGTGGGAGTTGCGGGAACGTAAATTCTCGCTCGTGTAGGCTGGTGCATTATTCTTTGGGTTTATTACTCATCAGTCAGCGAAGAATAAGAGAAATGGGGAAAAGATTCGTGAATCGAAACTGAATCAGTGCGGGGAAATATTGACATCTAAAATAAAATTACATTGCTCTGGCATTTACTTTTTCATGTCAAACAGAATTCGTGAATCGAAACTGAATCAGGGCGGGGCTAGGCCTTCTCAGATACAATGTACTGAGAAGGCCTAGGTGCGGGGGGGAAATGACATCTATAAAATTCCATTTCTCTAGTATTTATTTTTTCATGTCAAACATAATTTTTGTTTGCTAAACTTTAATTTGGTGTTTACGGGTGTTTGCCAATGACCTTAATTACTGCATAACCTTGGTGTTTGCTCATCATGCCATGCACTGAATTCTGGTGTGGTACATGTATAGGCCTAATAATGTTTGCATTGGAGCGCAAGTGCTTTTCCTTATATTATCGTATTTTATAACTTGAAAGTCATTCATACCCCCCCCTCTCTCTCTCTCTCTCTCTCTCTCTCTCTCTCTCTCTCTCTCTCTCTCTCTCTCTCCCTCTTCTCTCTCTCCCTCCTCTCTCGCTGTCTCCCTCTCCCGGCTCTCATTATTTCCCTCTCCCGGCTCTCGTTATTTCCCTCTCTCCCTCTTCTCTTTCTCTCTTTTTCTCTTATATTATAATGTGTATGATTAAATTGGTGCAAGCCTACAACGTAGGCTTATATGTATTATCATTGTTACTTGTTACATTATTTGCTTTTAACAGTCAGCAAACAAATAAAACATGATTTCATTTTTTAAATGAATATAATTAGACCTTTCTTTTTATTTGACAAAGGTTGATTACATATGAGAGCAGCAATATAATAATATTATTATGCCTCGAGGGGTGGAACTTGTCTCAGAGTTAACGTATTAATTAGCTTGACCCGGTGGTTAGGCTCTCGGACTCGCAACCGTAAGGTCGTGGGTTCGAACCCCGTCAGGGGCCCGACGTTGTCCTTGGGAAAGGTTGCACAAATTTTCCTCATTTCACCCAGGTGGATATATGGGTACCCGGCTTTAGACAGTGAACGATCTTGTCACTTTGTTATAATGTTTGAGCGCGTGAAATCCGCAGCTTGCACAGTATGCTTCCGCGGAAGCCGAGAATGTTTCTGAGTGTTCTCAGATGCTGGGGTAATAATAGTTGTAAAGCGCATAGAGAATGCTCTTGAGCATGGATATGCGCTATATAAATACAATTATTATTATTATTATTGGTAACTTCGGATTAACTAGCCCTCTAATACGAATCGTGTGCGAAGTATTTCACAATAATGTGTCTGATAATTAACTTCAGCCAAATACACGTATAGTGGGATATGATGTCAATCTGTATAGCACGGGGTATCATTTTTTTTTCACAAACTCACTAGGCTATATAGATCTATGTGACAACGCACCGAAATGCGATGTCAACGGCCCGTCAATATTTTATTCTTTGCCAGTGAAACGTCCCCTGCTATGACGGAATACCAATAGAGCACGGACCATCTATCACAATCAAAGCTATTGTCCTGGTGTACTACATTCTGGGGTGTAAGTGAGACCTCAGATGTAAAAGAGTCATAGGCTCTTCGACGTCTTATCGCGGTTGCGTGTAAAAGACGTGGGTTAGATTCCTGAAGCGAAGATTTCGTTTTGTTTTGTTGTTGTTATTATAATAATTATTATTATTATTATTATTATTATTATTATTATTAATATTAATATTATTATTATTATTATTGTTCTCGTTGTTGTTCTTGCTTATTATTATTGTTGTTATTATTATGGAGTTCTCAGTCTACTAGCTAGGAATACCCCTTCAGCCCGGATTGGTCCTGACAGGCAGGGTCGAAGCAACTAGCCTTCTCTGTGACTAAATCTTTAAGACGTCTTTTTGGAATGCTGTATGGAAGGTCGAAATAACGCTGACTCGGTAGAAACCTAACGGACCTCAGGGAACACAAAGCCTTATCGGACGGGCGTTGTTAGTTTAAGAGAACGAAAAAGAAGAAATCATTTATTGAACCCTATTCGTGCGCCTGGAGTCATTTTGTACTCCCAGGGGTTGTATTCTTCACATTTTAGAATAATGTACTTCTAGTGCGAAGATCTCTTTGAAACTTTCGGTATTTCTCGAAAAATCATTTTGACAGACTGCTATGCCAAGCGTACAGATCGGATTAAGGAGTAAATTTCCTGTTTTAAAAGTGGTGGCACAGAGTTCCCCAAGTCGTATGGATACGATGGTGAAATACGACGTACGGATAGGGTTAATTCCCGCAACGGCGACGCCTGAAGACAAAAACATGAAACTAACCAGCGGCCGCGGACGCAAGTGCCGTGTCCATATAGGTCCTGGGAAAACTTACTAAAATAACCGAAAAGAGAACTACAGACTTCAACGTAAATTAAGGACCATTTGCAAACACTCTGATTGGTCTTATTTGCTCGACCTGCTCGTAGGCGTTCTTGGACTGATCCAGTGGCTTGATGGCACTGCCTCAAGCAGACAATGACAGAGTGTGACACTGCATGCCATCTGGCAACTTCTCGGGCTCCAACTCCATCCTGCAGCCATGCCATAGCTCTGCACGATCAAAGTCTCTCAGCTTTTGTCTTGGTGGCATGTTGATGCGATACTGGATTTTGCGCAAACGGCGGCTTATATTGCCACTAAAGTGAGCACAGTTCGAGATCGTACGTCCGTTTATGAGGTGCACCGGAAATTTTAACTTGGGAAAAGTCCATGGTGGTGCACACAAGTCAATAAAAAAAAGCAAATTTGCTAAAATTCCCCGAGGATTTCCGTGCTGAACGTGGTGATTTTGCCCCTCAAGGAAGCTTTGCAGTACGCATTTTTGAAACTTTCCTTTCTGTCTTTTTTTCGGATTAAACAAAAAAATCAGGGCTGTCTGTCAAGGTGGTCCTTAACTTATGTTGAAGTCTATATAAGTAGGCCTACCGCTAAGTGAACTGCGGCAAGGACGGCCCCAGGTCCCGCTGAGAAAGGAGGAGGGTTGGGCGGATGGTGAGCTACCCATCCTTGTAAAAAACAACCCAAGATTCAGAAACGGTTACAAACGTATCAAATCAACATTTCGGACCTGGGAGGTTGATGAAGTCAGGTAATGAGAGCCAGCTGCTAGGCCGATGACCATTATCTCTACCAGGATCATCACCACCCTCGGAGTGTGGAACGTCCGGGCTTGAAGCTGGAAAAAGAGCGCAAGTCGCGGCAAACATGAAGAGCTGCAACTTCACCGTCATGAGAATCATTGAGACGAGATGGACAGGCTCGACTAGCTATTGAATTCCTCGGGTCAAGACACCCCACACCCCAAAGCACACACACACACACACACACACACACACTCACA